TCTGTGTGTATTCAGGTTTAAGTCCCCACCAGAATAGAAAAACAGGTACACACACATATACACACACACACACACACAGCTGGAGGGTACAGCAACACTTTAGCACTGCAAAAAAACAGTTCTCCTTTAAAATTCATCATACAGTTAAAAAAAAAAAAACTCTCCAAAGAGAGTGCGATGTCAGAGCAGTGCATGCTGGGATAAAACTGCCATGTGTCTTTGCTCAGAGCTACAGCCCACAGATATTCCTTCCTTATTCCTCTCATATCCTCTTTTCATCTGTTCTCTCCTCAGCTCAAACCAAAAAGATTTTTCCCTCCTAAAGAAGTGAGTCATTCAAACTCAGATGCCATCGCTCCTCCGCCAGGCCTGTTTACAGATCACTTCACTTTGTCTGTCACGTGGTGTGCAGATCCTCCTCTGGGGTGAGTTTAAATAAGTTACCGCAGTACTGAGAGTCAAGTGACTGTAAAGAAACAGGGAAGTGAGCAGAGGAACAAAACAGCACTAAAACACATTTTTAATATCGCAACAATGCCACAAGTTCTTAAAACGGGGCAGCATGACTGTTAGCCAATCATCTACCGGCTACGATTTAGAAAACTCACTCATAGAGTGCTAAATTAATCCTAAAAACACAACACTGCAGTAAAACACAACATTTACTGTTCTTGGTAACAGTTATTGCACACAAATATGTGGTTCCAAGCTGTAAGTCTGGAACATAACTTCCTTAACACCAATGACTTCAGCAGTAAAGCACAATTACATCCAGACAGAGTTAAAAGAGGTTTCAGAAAGCGATGGATATTTCAATGACTTCTTGATTTTTTTAGTAGTTTCTTGTGAATATTTCATTACATACGTAGCCACACTTGATCAAAAATCTTATACCAACTTTTAAACTCTTAAATCTTATACCAAGATCAAAAATCTTATACCAACTTATTTTTATTTATTTTTTATTTTTTTCAATTGTTGCCCATGCGGTTTTAGGACATTATATAAATTTAGAGACTACATATTGTACTTGTAAAAATTCATTTGACACACTGCAGGGTGCTGGACTATTTAAATGAACTGCAAAATAAAGATGATTCAAAATGGTAAAAAAAAATAACAAAAAATAGTGATCAGCTACAACAACTAACATATATAAATATATTATTATAAATATATAAAAAAGTGAACATAAAAAATGTATCACAGCATCATTAAAAAACACCTTAAAATTCGATACCATATACCATGTAAAATCTTTCAAAATTGTTATTGTTGTTAATGTTAATACTCCTATTAATAATTAATAATAAAATCAACAATCTGGTCTATTATAGGGCAAAGGACAACAGCAACCAATCACGTTTTGCACAACCTTTAATATTTACACTAGACTGCCCTGTCGCTGTGTGAGCCCGGACCCCACATTCTGCTCCTGGTCATTCCCTTACTGTACTTTAGCCACTCCGAGAAAGCGGCCCTACAGAAACGCATGGAGATCCTCACAGAGGGCGTATGGCGCCACACCATGGTCGTGTTCACCCTCGGGGACCGTCTGCGCGACTACAGCATACAGGACCACATCCAGACAGCTGGGAAGGATCTCCAGTGGCTAATGGAGAAGTGCAGGTATAGGTACCACGTTCTTAACAACAAGATGCCCCAGGACAGACAGCAGGTCTCTGGGTTACTAGACCGTGCAGAAGACATGCTGATGGAGAACGGGGGATGGCACTTCTCCCTGCACATGTACTGCAGGCTGGAGGAGGAATGGAGCCGAAGAGAGAGGGAAATGAAAGAGAGGATACTAGAGAGACAAGATAGAGTGGGGAAAACCAGTCGAGGACTGGCTGTGGTTCCTAATCACAGTCAAAAAGGTGGTCTGCATGTGAACGATACTCAGGTGAAATTAGTTTACCATGGCTAACTGCTGCAAAACAAAGTTACATGGCATTGTTTTGGCATGAACTCAAAGTGAACTTCTGAACTGTAAATATGTTTCATCAACAAAGATTTTAAGTTAAAATATCTGTATGTATGCCTTTCTGAAACTGCTCACCATTTCTCTTCATTTAGTTCTCATTTCAATTTAAATGTGACCGTTTCACCAACATCACTTTTTTGATTTCATCCATTTTTTCAAGCTCATTTTAAGTGGTCCTGTGGTGTGACAATTTATTAAATGAGCAATTATTAAATTTTTTAATTTATTAATAGTTCATATTTAATGAATGTTCATAAAATAATCTAATAATAATAATAATAATACATTATTATTATTATTATTATTATTATTAGCTAACACTTTACATTGAAGTTCATTAGTTGGGTCCATAATCTGTTAATGTTAATTTAAAAAAAATAAAAATAAAATAAAATAAAAAATACAACTGTTGTTAGTTCATGTTAACTTAATTTCATTACGTAATATCAACAGATACAACTTTTGATTTTAATAATGTATTAGTAAATATTCAAATTAACTAACTAAGATTAATAAATGCATTATAAGTATTTTTCATTGTTAGTTCATGTTTACTAATGTAGTTAAATAATGCTAACAAATGGAACCTCCTGTAAAGTTTTACCAATTATTCATATCAGCTACCCACATTTTCACTGTATTTATATAACAACTCATTGTGGTTAAAAAATAGTATTGTAAATATTTTTTTGCTTTAAGATTTAGGTTACGAGTTATGTAATATCAGTATGGACACTCACTGGAGAGGGCAAATTCGAAGATGATACTTTACAACATCTTACATAATGATGGGCCAATCATAGAATACAAAGGGCTCTTATTTCTTCCAATGATTTTTTATGACAATTGTAAATAAAATTTACATTTCTTAAGATGTTTTGTACTATTTGCTTGTTAGAACCCTTCAAATTCATTTTTACTTATCGTTAATCATATTTTATTTGAATTTAAGCGCTTGCATTCCACAGGACAGTTTTAAAGGAATAGTTCACTCAAAAATAAATAGTTTGTCATCATTTATTCACCCTCATGTCGTTCCAAACTTGTACAAGTTTCTTATGTTGAACACAAAAGAAGATATTCTGAAGACTTTTGAAGAACCAAGCAGTTGTTGGTCCCCATTGACTTCCATAGTAGGAAAACTACGGAAGTCAGTGGGGACCATCGACTGTTTGATTACCAGCATTCTTCAAAATGTCTTCTTTTATGTTCAACATAAGAAAAAAACTCATACAGGTTTGGAACGACATGAGGGTGAGTAAATGACAAAAATTTCATTTTTGGGTGAACTATTTCTTGAAGAAATAGAGAAGAGACGGGGACTAGACTGAAACATGATGAAGGCCAGAAAGATCCGGTGTCCTCATGAGCACAATTGCTCACACGTGTCGTGAGGACGTGGATGTCGTGATTCATTCATTTGATTAATTCAATTTACCACCTGTCTCTTACCTAGTCCCTGTTACTCTCTGTGTGCATGCGCTCATATCTCTAACCTTTACCCCTCTTCGGCGACACTTCTTCATATCATCATATCCAAAGTCTCCCCACCCCTCACGTATTTATACTCTTTAAAGTGACTGATGGCCATGTCATCACAGCGCTGAGCCTCGAGCAGTCACTGTCCAAGCAATAATAAAAGGACACATTTAATTTATAATTAGTCTTAAATCTAATTTTGTTAAAAAAATAATAATAATCGTGAATCGAATCGAATCGTGAAAGCAAGATCGTGAATCGAATTGAATCGTGAGTTGAGTGAATCGTTACATCCCTACAATTTGCACATCATCTTAATCTGAGGAGGTGAGTTCCTTTAATGTGCTACTCAGGATGAGGCATTTCATTTAACAGATCATAGCCGGAGAGCGAGTGAAGCGTTAGAGGCCCTACTTTCAAAGTGAAATTCTCTCTCGTCGTCACACGGTGTCAAACATCATCTCGTTACGCTTGGGTAAACAAGCCTGAGTGCAATGATGAGAGAAACATCGAAAGCATCGAGCTACAGTCACTGCTTGTCTCGACCGCACAAGCACCCGCTGCCACAGATTCTACCAGTCACTCTCATTTGCATATGCTGATAGTTGCTAATTTATGTGTGCGAATGTAATGCTCCCGCTGGCAAGCATGTTGTACTGTATGGGGACAGTGGAGAGACAGGGAAGAGTCTCTGTGGATGGATTGTCTTCATTTCAGGGCTCTACAGACACTCTGCTCATTAAACCAGGTGATCTACTGACCCCTTTTCCAACCGCACGTCACTGACCTTGAACAACAGAACCGCCAGACCCAGTTACCACAAGTAACAGAGCCAGACTGAATTGCAGAGATAGATTGTCTCTCTCTCTCTATCTCTAAAACAAACATTTTTCTATCATAGTGAGGGCTTTCCGTTAAATCCATTCCATCCGTTTTTGAACAAAGCTATTTATATTTTTTATCCCCTAACCCTAAACCTAACCCACACACAAAACATTTTCATTTTTGAATTTTAAATAAAACACTATTTAGCATGTTTCTTTTGAACTTTGAACTCATCAAAGAATCCTGGTTTCGAGTATAAACTATTATGCAGCACAACTGTTTTCAACGTTGTGTAATTTAACATTGAATAATATTTACAATGTTACTGTTTTTGCTTATTTTTGATCAAATAAATTCAGCTTCGGCAAGTGTAAGATACTTCTTTCAGACACATTTAAAAATTCTTACTGACCTCAAACTTTTGAAGTGTAATGCAAACAAGATAAGAGATAGCAAACTTATACAGTCCATTACTTTCTGTGATCTCACTAGTACACTACAAAAAAAGGCCTAAAATAAATGGCTCTAAAGGGTTCACTAGTACACTACAAAAAAGGCCTAAAATAAATGGCTCTAAAGGGTTCACTAGTACACTACAAAAAAGGCCTAAAATAAATGGCTCTAAAGGGTTCACTGTGCTGAAAATACCCATTTAAACCAGTCTTAGCTGGTTTAATATGCTCTCTTAGCCTGGCTTGCCAAGCTGGTCTGAAGTTATTCTAGCTGGTCTCCTAGAAAGTCCCTTAAAACCCTCTAAATCCAGTCAAATCCCAGTCTGGCCAGGGTGGGAGACCAGCTATGACTAACAAACCAGTTTAGGTTGGTCTTTCTTCAGCAGGGTAGCCGGATTTGACTGAGCTAAGATAAATGATGACACTGCATAGGTGAAGGAATATAATGAAGCCGTCATTAGAAAAAGGCCTTTCTCTCAGCAATTGAACCTTTGCCATACCCCACAACGGCACCAGCTCCGCTCAAGAGCACTTTCCATTTGGCAGCTTCTCTCACACTGTGGTCCAGGTAATCAACAGGTTCAGTTCAGTGATGATTATAAGGGCTTCTGTGCACTTGAAAATACTGATACATTGCATATGCAAAGTAAACAAAATGTGTATATGATGTACAAAAAGGGTTGGAGGAAAGGGTAATGGGTGTAAAGAGAAGTTCCCATGGATTTTAGATCATATATCAGAAGAGAAGTGAGGAGGCAGAAAAAGAATCGATAGATCAGAGAGCACATCCACGGACTTTAAAAGATTCTGTCTTGAGTTAAAGCTGATACTTGCACTTTTTTATGTAAAATAACATTTTCTGTAATTTGCATACACAGCTGAGTGCGAGTCATCAATCTTTCTGGTTCAATTTCCCTAAAAAGAAAGGCTGTAAATTTTGTTAGTATGCATTAGCACAGATAAGCCTCAAAACTAACAGACATGTCATGGACAATACTGCCAAAAAAATCCTGTTCTTAATGAGAATTTTGTCCAGTTGAAATGTCTAAAAATCCCTGAAACAAGATAAATGTACTTTTCATTTACTTTTAATAAAATCTTAAACTGAAATGTCTCACTACATCTGGCAGATTTTTTAAATTCGCTTTAAGCATAAATGAAGTAAAAAATCTGCCAGTGCTGTAAGACATATTACAACTACATGAAATATATATTCTCTAAAAATAAGTATAAATATTTACATATCCTACATATATTGTGCAGTGTCGCTTCTCAAGTACATTTTTCTCGTTTAAAGGATTTTAAATCATTTTAAGTAGAAAAGTTTAAGTGATTAAAACTCATTAAAAAGGTTTAAAAGTAAAACAAATCCACTTTTTAATTTCACTGGGTGTTTAAACTTGCACAGTTTATCATAGTTAATGAGGAAGATGCAAAAAAGAATGAAGGCAGAGCTGAACTGTACCACTGATTCATCTATACATTTTATCCATGCAACATGTTGCCACCTGGGTCACCTTGAGCTTTTATACACAGACTTTGAGCAGAGTCAGCATTCGAAACAGTCACAGAATAGCAAACAGCTATAGTGTAGGTGTAAGACTAAGGGCCTAATGATTTGCCTTTAAAGAAGAGTCATGCTAATGATTGAACACATCTACAATATCAATACACATGTCAAAAAGGTGCACTGCTACTGGAGTCAAGCCATTCTCTTCAAAGCTATTTTTTCAGCATAGACACAGAATACCTAGATTCTTCTTTTAAACTCTTCCAAATACATCAATAGCACTCCCATCTTGGAACAAATAACGCAATGTAAAATATCTTCTTTCATTCTGAAAGACTGCCACACACACACAGGGAGACACACAGCGAGCGCAATGGAAGTCAATGCCTGTATTTAAAGCTCTGTGGATACAACGCTTAATATAATCCAAACGTCTACATGTCTGCGGTCACCCCATTCTCTCATTTGTGTGGTCAGGCTTACTGTTGGATAAGTGTAAGGATGAGAAACGGCCAGGTCTGATGACCCTTTGTCTCTGTCAGTGACTGAATGATGTCTGTTTCCACGGAAACTCCTTCAGGCAATTAGGTGTGCAAATATCGCAGAGCGGTGCAGAAAGGACAGAACGTGCTGAAAAATGGGGTGGGGAGGGAACAAAGCAAGAATCAAAGAGTCAAACGTGGATCCGTTCCACTAGCGGGTTACAATGGAGGTTAGCGGTTACAAGCCAGTATAGCCAAAACTATTAAGCAATATAAACAACAGCACGTGACTGATAAG